CAAACTTCTGAGCCAGCTTCGCAATTAAATGTCGCTGAAATTTCTGCAATGTCTAGAGATATGTCTTTTATGGCTAAATATTTAATCAATAAAATGAAACGAGACACGAAAATAAATATAAAAAAACCATGGAAGGTATTTTCTATTTCAAATAAAATAATTACCATAAATCTATGAAATTGATTGTTACTAAATATCAAATTATAATATAGTATACACATATATATACAATTAATTTATGAAGTTATTAAAATATTTTACTTTTTATAATAATTACAAATTAAACATAATATTATTTACTATTACTATTACTAATACTATTAATATTACTAAATTTATTATTCAAGTGAAGATAGAAAAGAATTAATCATTGAAATTTATATTATATAAAATCATTATATACATTTTTAATATAACTAATTTTAATTAAGATTTATATCAAAATGATGTTATATGAAAATCATTTTATGACAATAAAAAAGAGATTTATTTAAATATACTTAAATGTAAAAATTCTAAAACTAACGTAAAAATTCTGCAATGAAAATAGTGCATTTTTGATTTAATAATTATATATATAAATATTACTTAAATATCGATCAAAAATATTTGAATTAATTAGATATTTTTTTTAATAAAATATGAATTGTTAATATATATTAAGTAAAAATATAATAAAATCTATTTTAATGTTTTATAGTTCATTTAATTGCTGATAGGTGCCAATGACTTTTATACCAATATATGTACAGTTCCTCCATGATCAATTTTGGAAGAGCACAGAATTGATTTAATTAATACTTTTCGGATATTAAGAAATAATTTATCATGTACTTTGATATCACTGGTAATAGTGCCTCATTTGAAGGAACTCGTTATTACTCGCAAAGGAAGGAATTCATTAAAATGCTATATTATGACCACTTTCGAATATTCATGTTTATTTGCTTTACAATTCCAAAATCGGAGACAAAAATATTATGAAATAATAAGCAGGTATATAGTTTAAATTAATATAGAGTTTAATTTAGAAATTGTAAATTCTTCTTTAATAATTTTTGATTAAAAAATAAATTCTACATAAAAACCATATTATATTACCTTTACTTTTTAATAAAAATTTGAAGATTACATATATTTTCTTGTTCATAAATATAATTGATTATTATTTTTTTATAGTATCTATTACATAGTATCTATAGTATATATCTATCTTTAAATATTAAAAAACAAGAAACAGAAGAATTATTGTAAAATTATAATACATAATATCATTTTAATTATTTTAATTACTTTATATTATAATATATTATATTATAAAATATATCTTATTTTATTTAAAATTAAATCTAAGATGATTAAATAATAGATATGTTCTTTTTCGAATAAACAAAATATATAATTTTTGTTACACTTCTATCCTATTTCTATCCTATTAGATGTCAGAAACTGCAAGAAGAAGTCGCAAATTATCCAGAATTTAACAGAAAAGACTTTACTATTATTGTTTCACTACCTTGTTTCACAAGTATTAGTAATATTAAAATTCCACTTGCTGAAGATGGATTTAGTGATCTATCATATTTTTCTGTTGATTGTTTTCATATAAGTCAAAAAACAAATGCAGTATGTAAGTAAAAAAAATAAAGCTACATAAAATAATATTTGTTAATAATTGTACAAATATTATTGTATTTATTTTTAGTTGTGAATGTTTTATGGAATAATTTATTACAATCAATTGGAAATAAAACTACTATTTGGATTCCAGTATTTGAAATATTTTTATGTCCTACTTCTGAAAAACCATATCTTTTAACATGAAAATTCCCAGATTGAACAGTAGAGATTAAAAATAAAATTTAAAAATTTAAAAATTAAATTTAAACATTACTTTTATATTATTATGCATTTATATAATATAAAATAAAATATATTATTATTATATTGAAAGTACATTATACGTCAAATATAAATTTTCATATGAAACTATATGTATACTCAAATTACATTCTACTCATTCTTGATATTTTTGTACTGTAATATAAAATGAAAGAAATTTATTTATTATTAATTGTAATAATATTTAAATTATATAGATGGATAGATAGACATGATACACATGAATAACATAATATCTTTTTAATTATAAATATATAAATCATTTATATTATATACGAAAGATGAAAAAATTTATTTTTCGATTAGTTTATTTTTAACTATATTTTTTTTTATATTTTTAATTATATTTTGTTCACTTAAAGTTTCTTTAATGCATTTCTTATTATATTTTCCTACAATACTTTCCCTATAAAAGATATTTGCTCAATCCAGAATCTAATTATTATTATTATTATTAATAATAGTAGTAATACTTTAAATAATTAAACAGTAATCATTTAAAAAAGTGCATTAAAAGAATATATATTAATGCAAATGAGAAGAGTTTTAAATATTTATAAAGAAGAAATGAAAAAGAATCGAGAAAAATTAATTGTGATGTAATAAAAATTTACAATTACTTATATTGTAAGAATTTTTGAGAGATTTTTTAAAGATTACATACATGTACATTTTAATAAAATGTATATATATTTTACGAATATATATTTTATAATTATATATATATATATAATATATAACATTAAAATTAAATAAAACATTATTTAATTTTATGATATTGTTAGATTAGTCTATATGGGAAGAATATATATTAATAGAAATATTGTCTCTAAAGAGAATGAAAAGAATTCAAAAAATTTCTGAAGAAATAGATGATATATCTTATTATTTAAATATGTTTATATTGACAAGAAGTAATTTCATGTTATAGTGAATAAATTATTATATATATTTAAAAAAGTACCTTGATTGTGTAAGAATTTGGGATCTGTGAATCCTCCCCAATCCATGCGTCGATCATACACACATATTTATATTTATTGATTCTTTAGATCAAATATAATTATCTTTTTCCCATTTTCAAGAAGAAATTCTGAAATAGAACTTAAAAAAGAATCATTTCTAACAAAATCATATTATAAAATCTATCTAATAAAATCCCTTTCAATGCCTAAGTTGTAATAGTTTAAGATAGGCTCATAAATGAATTGTGACAAGTAAATCTTTTATATCAAAAATGAAACTGATAATTTGATTCTATAACAGAATAGAATTTTAATTTTTTTAAATATATGTCTTGATCATACAATAATATTTTTGATAAAGAAAAATTATCTAAGTGCTATATAATAGCAAATAAATTTGTTTA